TTTTAGATATGTGTGTGTGCCTGCAGAGGAGTACAACACTAGCATTCAAGAGAAGCTGCCTCTCATCATTGGCTCGGCGGCTGCTGGTCTGGTCTTCCTCATTGCGGTGGTGGTCATCATCATCGTTTGCAACCGGTGAGTTCCACTTGCGGTGTTCTAAACATGTAAACCATTAGCATAGCTTCCCCCCAATTATACCAGCAACTTGTCAAAATCCCATGCTTTTGTCTTGATTTGCTTCATTAGCGGACATTTACAGAGCAGCAGAGCTTGTAAAAACTCGCTTAATGACGAGGTTGTGTTAACAAGATGATGGTGGGCAGTAGTGAGTGTTGTTTTCATGGCTTTAGCACCTTTTTAAACAGTACAAGCAGAGCTGTTTTCCTTTGTTTGCCTGCAGACGTGGATTCGAGAGAGCAGATTCAGAATACACAGACAAGCTGCAGCACTACACCAGCGGCCACAGTGAGTACTTAGGTCTCGACTGCTATACACACACTATGTATTCATTTAAAATGTACACTACCAGTCAAGTTTTTGAACAGTACGATTTTCAATGTTTTTTAAAGCAGTCTCTTCTGCTCACCAAGCCTGCATTTATTTGATCCAAAGTACAGCAAAAATAGAACATTTAAAATAACTGTTTTCTATTTGAATATATTGTAAAATGTAATTTATTCATATGATTTCAAAGCAAAATTTTTAGCATCATTACTCCAGTCACATGATCCTTCGGAAATCATTCTAATATTCTGATTTGCTGCTCAAAAACATTTTTTATTATTATTATTATGTTGAAAACGACTGAATATAATTTTTTCAGGTTACTTTGATGAAAGGAAAGTTCAGAAGAACAGCATTTATCTGAAATAGAAATCTTTTAACATTATAAATGTCTTTATCATCACTTTTGATCAATTTAAAGCATCCTTGCTAAATAAAATTATTATTTTCTAACATACATACATACTGACTCCAAGCTTTTGAATGGTAATAGTGTATAATGTTACAAAAGCTTTTTATTTCAGATCAATGCTGATCTTTGTATCTTTTTATTCATCAAAGAATCCTGGAAAAATGTACTCAACTGTTATAAATATTGATAATAATAATAATAAAAAAATGTTGAACAGCAAATCAGCATATTAGAATGATTTCTGAAGGATCATGTGACACTGAAGACTGAAGTAGTGATGCTGAAAATTTAGATTTGATCACAGGAATAAATTACGTTTTAAAATATATTCAAATAGAAAGCAGTTATTTTAAATAGTAAAAATATTTCTGCTTTTGCTGTATTTTGGATCAAATAAATGCAGGCTTGGGGAGCAGAAGAGAATTCTTTAAAAAACATAAATATCATAAAATAACAAAAATCTTACTGTTCAAAAACTTTTGACAGGTAGTGTACGTTATGGTTTATTTTTTATATGTTATTTGATGGAAATCTCTTATGCTCACCAAGTCAGCATTTATTTGATAAAAAATTATAAAATACAGTACTTTCCTCAAGCCAGTAAACCATCAGCATTTTACATACTAATGCCCTCAATTTCTCCTACTTACCCACCTCACACAAATCTATTTAGATACTGTATCTCTTTCACCATCAAACACACCTTTATCTCAAAGTTGACCTCAGTTTCTCAAGATTAATCTATGAAATATTAATCCTACAGCTTCCCGTGAAATCCCATCAGAGAGTGCATAAGCTACTTCCCCTAGAAGCGATTCTGTGGTTCATCTTTGTTCTCTTGCTCAGTTCTTTTTCCATCACTTGTTTATTTTCCCATCAAAGCAGTACACAAAGCTAATGCAAAAATCTCAGTGCCAGGTGTTTCAAAGTTAGCAAGATCCATCAAAGATTAGTCATAAAATGAGCAATACTTCAGTAAATACCATCTTAGCCTCAGAGTGCTGTTCCATTTATAGAAATAAATCTTTAAGATTCTCTCAAGGCAATAATTTAAAGCTAAGCTCGCTCGCTTGCTCTGCCTCTGAGGGCTTATAGTTTATCTCTCTCTTGCTCACTCTGCTGAATGAAAATGGTCTGGCACTTTTTCTCAAGTTAAATTTTTCTTTGCCCTTCCTTATCAATTTAAACAGCTTTTATGATGTGTAATCAGTGGTAAAGGACTGCTCTAAATGCTGTATTTATTGAAATGATTTCTGGAAGAGCATGGGGCCAGTAAAACCTGGAGAACCAAAGTCTGAATGCATCCATTAGTGCTCAAGAGCTCTCATTTTCTCACTCTTTTCACTTGTGTCTTCTTCATTATTTTCCCTCTCTTTGTCTCAGGCAGTTTAATCTTAAAAGCATAGTTTACTAAAAATTTAAATTGTCACTATTTGCTCACCTTCATGTCATTTCAACCCGGTATTACTGTCCTATTCTGTGAAAAAAGGATGTTAGGCAAAATGTTCATGCTGCTCTTGTCCATATCATGAAAGCCAATAGAAACATTCACGTTCATTATCTGGAAAATAGCAGTATGAACATCCTGCTAAACGCTTCCTTCTGTGCTCCACAGAGGACAGAAAGTTACATGGGTTTGGAACAACGTGAGGGTGAGTAAATGATGACAGATTTTCATTTTTGGGTGAACTATCCCTTAAGAAGTAAGCTCTGCTCAGAAGAACGTTCTCCAGAGTAGCACATACACTACAACCTCATCAATTTGTTATAGTTTGACATTCACAAATCTTTTGATGGTTGATGCCATTCGCTTCTCCCACTCTATTTATCTTTTTCTTGTCTGTTGCAAGAGCACATTTATCAATTCCAAAAACGTCTGTGCAGCCAGATCACCAACAGAAAGCCTCTCCAGCTGCATGAAGACACGATGTCTATTAAAATGCCTTCAGATAGATTTGAAGCTGCGAGACTGAATAATCGCATTTAAAGCAGGAATGACTTAAGTCCTAGCACACTTAAGTTCACCTTAAGCCAATTTACCTGAAGCCAAAAGCCATTTGATTGGCAGCAGTGGAAATTGCTGATATATGGTCTCCACCAGGGACTATGACATCCCAGAGATGATACATACATTAAAGCGCCTTATCTTTCTCTTGGCGAATGCTGTTACACTCCACTGACTGTAGTCATGAGCTGGTCCAATGTCATGCTTAAAATCCAAAGCTACTGGAAAGCCAGCCATTCCCAGAGACCCCAATAACTAATATTTTCAGACATTAACACTGATTATTCTGATGTACGGTATGTTGTGCAGCGTTTTTAAAATGTTTTGAGTATTATAGCTGTTTTTTTTTGTTTTTTTTCAAGTGTCACCAGGAATGAAGATCTACATTGATCCATTTACATACGAAGACCCCAATGAAGCTGTGAGGGAGTTTGCTAAGGAGATTGACATCTCGTGTGTGAAAATTGAGCAAGTCATTGGAGCAGGTAATCAAACCTCCAAACGTCCAAGAGTGTTCTACCATGAAGTTTTTCTTGTGCCTTGACCTAAAGAACAGTGCACTTGCCTCTGTCCATAGGAGAGTTTGGAGAGGTGTGCAGTGGAAACCTAAAGCTCCCAGGAAAGAGGGAGATGTTCGTGGCCATTAAAACACTGAAGTCTGGTTACACAGAAAAGCAGAGGCGGGACTTCCTGAGTGAAGCAAGCATCATGGGGCAGTTTGATCACCCCAATGTCATCCATTTGGAGGGAGTGGTGACCAAGAGCAGCCCTGTCATGATCATCACAGAGTTTATGGAGAACGGCTCATTGGACTCTTTCCTCAGGGTGAGCATTTTTGTGCCGAGTCTTGGTGTAATAACTATGATGCAATCTATACAACTTAATTAAAATGTAAATTAAAAAGAAAATTTGCATTTTTCATACTGTACATTATAATATTGTGATGCCTACATTCACATTTAAAACAACTAATTAAATTTTTTGTGTTATATTTTTTTTATTTATTTAAACAAAATAATGTGAAATTATAATATTAGCCATGATTATCACCTTATCTGTATTGGCTAGGAATTTTAAATTAATTTAAACCCCAAATGTGTAGAACAATGTGTATGAACATCTCTGGGCAATGACAAATCAGTCAATCATTTCTTTAACTAGTTCCTCAAAACCCTCTGAATGAACTGATTCAGTATAAAAATATGGATTTCCCCACGCTAACACAAGCTCAGTAATGTAAACATGACTCAAATTCCAGTTCAATCTCTCATCAGCAGGTGTGTATGCACATCAGCATGGTGAACATCAAACAAATGCTCCCTCCTAATTTCTCATGCTGTCCATCAGGTAATTCTCCACAGGGTCTCTCTTTAATACCCAGCTACCCCCCTGTAGCAAACATCTACTCTCAGTATTGATTCCAGTTGTAAGACTGTTGTAATAAGCTCAATTCTCTTCCATTCATCTCTATGGGTTACCACACTAACATTTGCTTTAAAGCGATCTCTTTAAAAGAAATAGTTGAATCGTTGCTCTGTGATTAGTCATGCCCTCATTTTGCATTGGTCACGCTCTCTCGGCCACGTTCTCTGCATTACAAGCGTCAGATGAGCGGTGTGTCTCACAAACTGAGCCCCCACATGTGCTTCCGACCTATATCACAGAACACACATAGCGATCAGAAAATTGTGCTTGGTGTTTTAATCTGAAAACTCTTAGCCTGAGGAAACTACTTTGTATCTCTCTCCAGTTTCCAGTAACAGCATCCATCCTGCAGATGCATTTAGATGATTATCCGAATGCAAGAATTTGCCAAAATCCTTGCTTACAGAACAAGCGTGGGGAATGAGAAGAAAATGCCACTGTCAGCCGATGACTGGCACGCGTCAATTTGATTTCAGTGCAGAGCTGATGTGGATAAAATAGGTGTCCGGATGCCTTGATCGCTACTAATTGGGCTCTCTGTGTGTTGCGTTGAAAAAAAATACCTTTGATTTATGTAAATATGTAATCTTTGGGGAAGGAATGATTTATTTTGCTCATTAGCAAGGCCTTTGCCTCTGATCTATCACGAGAGAAAACTTATTTTATCCTTGACGCCTAGCTTTTCGGGATGTTAGGCTCAGGAAGTGTAATTATCTGGAACAAGAAACCTTCATGATTGTGGCGTTTAAACGAAGGCGAGTAAACAGGAACCAAACGACCAGCCATTTGTTAGACATTTGAACTAAATTTATTTCTTCTCACCACAATCAGATCCAGCTCTCGGTAACCTCTGCAATTGTGAGGTTCTGATGTTATTTTAGCTGTTTGGCCAGCCAGTTGTTTCGCTCGTGTTTATACTTTCACAGCCCACCCCATTACAGAACACACATGCCCTACCATGCCATCGTGTGAAGAAATGACTGATGTTTGGTAATGTAAGTAGAAGTGTAAAAAAAAATGGCAATGAACACCTCATACATCACGTTTACTCTTGAGTTCAAATCACGATGCTATATTAAAACACTTGAAAAAGACTAGCTAATGTTTTTTTTTTTTTGCTCTCATAATGTCAGTTTGGTGGTGTGCGAGAACTTTGAAACTCCTCAGATCTTTGTGTAGCTGCACAATTGTGTTGTTTCTTCAAGACTGTCATCCATTTCTGACAGTACGCTGAATTCTTTGAAAACAACACGCCTCTGTTGTGGCACCTCACTATGACAGCGGATGACAACATTGTGTGTTAGTGCTGAAGCGCTAGAATATGAGTCTGATGGAGCTCTTGTAAGACAGGACTGAGAGAGAAGGAGACTCAACGCTAACCTGTCGTTCTTGCACTGATACAACTTCCACTGTTGTTTTGTGGCGGATTAAGAAGCAAGAGAGAGCAAAAGGGAAAGAAATTCAAAAAGGTATGTTGTCGAAACTTTCAGAAAGAAGCATCAAAATGAAAAGTTAAGCAAAGCCAAATAGAATCGACAGCAAAGACGTGCCTAAGAAGAAACAGCATGGATAGAATAATTCACATATAATCGGGAAAAGAAAGAATGTTTGCTTCACTCAGACTGCAGATCCAAATAACTTTGAGGCGAAGAATCCCTCCAATTAAACTATAGGCAAACACTGTGAGCAGATTAGAGTGCCAGGCTGTATTTGCGAAGGATTTCAGCTTTATGAATAATGGATGCTGCTTAATTGCTGTGGAGGGTTGAGGAGAAGTTCGATCAAGTCGGCTTAACATGGGGGAAGGGTTTGAGTGTGACACATGCTGCTCAGAGGAGGAAGGGTTTGTATGCAACACAGAATGAAGACATCTCATGGCTATTTCATCCAGAATCCAGTGCTTTCCGTCTCTCTTCACTTGACGCATGCGTGTCTGTCCGCACTGCGCCTGCTGGGCTCGTCTCGTCTGATCAGAAGCTGAATGCTGCTTGCTTCATGGCTGTCTGCGGAGGGTCTGCAGATGGAGGCAGCTGCAAGCACAGCTGGGTCAGAAACTGCTGGACCTCCTCATGAGCAAAGGGCTTTCTGACCACCATGGTCAACAGCTGCAAGATTTGCCACGGCCTGCATTGATCATTGAATGTCTGATCTAGCATTGCGTAGCATAAACTCTACCAATCCTCACCAGAGCGTTTGCACAGCCAACCCAAGCCAGGCTTGACTCAATGCATTGTGTTCAGTCTCTACTCTTATCCGACTGGGCATACTAGACATTAACCGTGATTTCCACAGCTTTATTCTTGCCTTATTGCTGTTGTTTGGGATTTATATGTTAGCCAGAGGAGATAACTGTAGCACAGTTACTTATGAGTTGATACTAGGAATGTGCAAATTATTATTATTTTTTTTTCTTCTGCGCACACACTTTACCTTTACAAAAGCCTTTTATAAGTAGGGCTGTGGATCAATTTTAAGACAAGATTTTAATAATTAATCAGGTTTTTTGTGATTAATAGACTAACTTGTGATCATAAATATTTAATGATTCATATTGAATCTTCAGATTAATGTAGTAACAACATAAAAAATAATATTTTAAATAATAAATAGCAGGTTTTTAACATCAAGGCCAGAATTGATATCAATACTGAAACCTCTTAATTTTTTATGTCTCTTTCTGTGAATAAAACTATAGAAGAGTAAACAAATAAATAAAGTAGTATTTTAAGATTTATTAGACCTAAATTATCACTATTTTGTTATCATTTATTAAATGATCATTTTATATCCACTTAAATCTCATTAGATAACTTGTTATAAAAGTCATTTGGCTTTGGTTTTATTTAGTGTGAAATAACTCTAGATTATGTTTCTTTGTCATTGAAAAAAATGAGTGCTTTCTGTCTTTTTCTGCATACATTTTCATGCTAAACAAATAATAAAATGACTACTTATACCACTTATTTTTATGTATTGACCCATTTCTGTTCTGTACTTGTTTACAGCAAAACGATGGGCAGTTCACTGTAATTCAGCTGGTGGGCATGTTACGAGGGATCGGCTCTGGGATGAAGTACCTTGCAGACATGAATTACGTACACAGGGACCTGGCCGCCCGCAACATCTTAGTTAACAGTAACCTTGTTTGCAAGGTGTCCGATTTCGGACTCTCACGCTTTTTGGAGGATGACACATCGGATCCCACCTATACCAGTGCCCTGGTGAGACGTTTTGTAATATTTGATTTGAAACATCATGCAAACTTGTGCTTTGATTTGAGATGACTTGATGTTTATGATTTGGGTTTATACAGGGTGGGAAGATCCCTATTCGATGGACAGCCCCAGAGGCCATCCAATATAGGAAGTTCACCTCCGCCAGTGACGTATGGAGCTACGGGATTGTCATGTGGGAAGTAATGTCGTATGGAGAGCGGCCATATTGGGACATGACCAATCAGGACGTACGTACCTCACCACTTACATTATCGTTCAAAAATTTGAAAGAAGTCACCAAGCCTGCAATTATTTGATCAAAAATAAAATAAAAACAGGAATATTGTAAAATATCATTACGATTTCAAATGCCTGTTTTCTATTTTAATATATTATTAATTTAATGTATTCCTGTGATGGCAAAGCTGAATTTTCAGCAGTCATTACTCGAGTCATCAATGCCACATGATTCTTTAAAAATCATTCTAATATGCTGATTTGGTGTCAATGTTAAAAAACAGTTTTGCTGCATAATATGCTGAATTTGGTGAAAAGGGTTTCATGATTAAAGAATTTGAATTCCTATTTTTTATAGTTACAAAACTCTTTTTACTTTAGTAATTTATTCAATTATAAAACAGTTTTCCAATAGAAGCACTGTGAAATGATCATGCCAGAGGCTGTTGGTTGGTTGCCGTATGTTAGCGCGTGATAGATGAATGCTGTGCAGCAATGTTGAATCAGAGGCTAAGGTAAACAGCAGAGAGAGCACATCGTAAATCTGTCCATGTGCTGCTCTGCTGTATGCGAGGCCAAACCTCAGACCCCAAACACTGCATGTGTGCAATCAGTCTTTGCAGAAACAGCTGCACCGATCATCACATCACATTGGCCTCAGAATGCAAAGATGACATAAGGATTTGCGTCAAGAAATCCCATTTTTCAGGGTTTGGAACAAAGTGGTTTGGACTGTATTTGTGTTTGTTTTGGAGAATGTATGCTTTTGGTGGCTACATCATGTGACGTTAAGAGAGTGTCTTCAAGCTATTGTCCTTGTATTGTGTCAAAGGGTATCATTTACTCTCACAAACGCTACCAAAGAAATTCACCTGTACTTCATACTCCTTTCCTGGTGAACAAAAAGATGATTTCACATGCAAAGCATGTGCCACGTTAAACAGTCCCTGCCCTTGAAGAAAGTTCCCATTTCTAGCATCCCTCTGGGTGGCTGGGAAAAGGCAAATTATGGGTCCAGATAATGAAAATTGTTTCAAATTGAAAGTGTGAACGCTAATGTGCTAAGAGGGAGCGCAGATCTCACCAGTTATCTTATTAGCAGTTCCAGATAGCGTTGCAGTCCTCCCATCGGGTTGGCCGTTTGAGGCGCCTGAATGAGATTAATCAGGCCTTGAATGGAGTCCCGTAATGGCTACGATAATGAGCTGGGGAACGACGGGTCTAACTCGGGTCCTGCTCATGCTTTCCACTTCATGGCCTTGCATCTCGTTTCTGGCCACCAAGGCCGCTTGAAGCATCCTGTTTCATTCAGATGTGACGGTACATCCATCGGTTCAGTTAATTTAAACGCTCAGTATCTGTTTTGCACATTTAGTGACGCTACACAGTTAATTTGCTGGAGATGTATTTAAGTTTTATTTAAGTGACATTCTTGATTTCCTGTTACAACTTGCAGCACATTTTCCAAATGTACAATTTAGTCAGCGTGTATATTACAGGCCATGTGTTAATCATGTTTAATCTGACAGATGTGCTTGATTGGAAATGAGTAGGACGGATGGGAGCCAGACTCAGGCCGAATACTGCCAAAAAACATAGTAACACCAAGGCCGCTCTTTTTTTGCACATTTGATCAGAGAGGAAATGCTTGTACTGCCAAATTGTTGTTATCAGCACCTTTATAATCAAGATCTATTAGCTGATTTAGGAGATATTTAGATAGCAGCTTACTGTGACCGCTTATTTATAGTCTGTGTGTGTGTGTGTGTGTGTGTGTGTGTGTGTGGTTGTGTAAGTGTGATCATGTGTGTGTTTGTGGCCAATGACAAATGACTTCCTTGTGTCCCCCTAAGACCCAGATAATGATCACAGTGCATTTATGAAGACTGCAGATCAATCCTCTGTCTCCTGGAGTGTTACAACCCCCCGCCCAGACGCTGGCTCATATCTACTGCCACCTGCCTCGCGCCATGCCGACAGCTCCTATCAAAACAAAGTTTTATGGCAATAAATTACATTTATTTAAAGTAAATGAATTTAAATCTAATGCATTACACATTATGTAATATTTGTATTACAATTCTAAGAATTAAACTTCTACTGATACTGATTAAACATTAGATTATCTTATAATGTTACACATTAATGTTGCCCACAGACTAACACACACTAGTTACAGATGTTATGTTGTCGAATAGTTTAAATAGTGTGGCTGGCATGTGACATGGTGCTGCTTATACAGGAATCCTGAGTTCAAATCTGGCTTGTGTCATTTCCCGAAGCCATCTCTCCCTCTTTCCCGCTATCGTTTGTCACCTGTCACTGAAACTTTTAATATACTTGGGATGCAACAAGCGTATCTTTCTCCGCCCCTTTTAATAACCATCTAGAGACCCTCACAGATCTGTGTCTCCCTCTGCAGGTCATCAACGCCATTGAGCAAGACTACCGGCTGCCCCCTCCCATGGACTGCCCCAGTGCCCTCCATCAGCTCATGCTGGACTGCTGGCAGAAAGACCGCAACAACCGGCCCAAGTTCAGCCAGATTGTCAACAACCTGGACAAGATGATCCGTAACCCTAACAGCCTGAAGGCCATGACTCCACTCTCATCAGGGTGAGTTGGAAAACAGAGTGCAGTTTGCTTGGGTGATCAGAGTCAGTGGATGTAAAACCTAGTAGACAACATTTTATGTGAAGGGTGTTGAAAAAGATGGGAAACAGCTACGGCTGCAACTAATAGTTAATAACTATTAACAAGTATATCTATTCGACAACGAATTTGATTATCGATTGATCATGTTTGCACACATCCGTCAGTAACGTCACTTTACAGCAGTGAATAATGCAATTCTATTTCTAACAGTGGAGGATGCAGAGTGAGCTACTGTGGGGGAAAAAGCATGACTCATGTTGTCCTAAACGCCATGAGTCATATTTAGTGTTCCAAACTAAAGCATATAGTTCAATTGCATGGCCTCCTGTAGTGGGAAATCACTCTCCGATAAAAGTTGATCTATTTCACATATTTACAAATGTTGGAGGGGACATACCTGTTTAAAAAGCTGTTGTTCAGCATTAGCTTATTATTACATTGAAATTTTATGAATTTAATGCTTACATTTTTTGTAATCTGTCTCTAAGGGTGTATTCACATCAGGAAAGTCCACTAGTTCACTTGCTTTGGTCCGGACCAAATACAATGTTGATTTTTTTTTGTTTGGTGCGGTTTGCTTTCACACTGCCCTTTTTGCAAGTGAACCAGAAACTGTAAACAAAACCACACGTGTGCTTAAGGTCATTCATTCATTGGTTCATCCACTCAACCATACCAGAGTTCGTTTGGAACCGGACCGAGACCAACTCTTCAGCTGGGTCTCGGTACGGTTGTTTGGTCCGCACCAGAGTGTGATTGCTGTATTCACACCTGCCCAAAGGATCTGCACCAAGGGGGGAAACGAACTTGAGTTCGATTCAATCGAACCAAACAAGACAGGTGTACATACACCCTAAATGTTTGTATCTCATGGGATACATTGCCTTTTTAGGGGTATAAATCAAGATATAAAAAAACATATAAAGTGCCTTGCAAAAGTATTCAAAACCCTTCATTTTTTTCACGTTTTATGTTGCAGCCTTATGTTAAACTGCTTTAAATTACTTTTTTTTTTCACATCAATCTGCACTCCATACACCATAATGGCAACGCAAAAACAGAACTGTCACAACTTTGTACATTTATAAAAAATAAAAAACTGAAATAAGTACATTGCAACTCAGTACTTAGCTGAAGCAACTTTACAGCCTCAAATATTTTTGTGTATGATGCGATAAGCTTTGCACATCATCAAATAGTTTTGTGTATGATGCGACAAGCTTTGCACATCAGCATTTGGCAATTATCTGCCATTCTTCACCTCACCTGTTCACCTCTCAAGCTCTGTCAGGTTGGATGGGGGCAGATGCACATTTTCAGGTTTCTCCAGAAATATTTGATTGGGTTCAAGCCCAGGCTCTGGCTGGGCCACTCAAGGACATTCACAGAGTTGTCTATAAGCCATTTTTGCTGTGTGCTTGGGGTCATTGTCCAGTTGGAAGGTGAGCCTGGACTGGTTCCCCTTCAGGAACTCGAGCTGCGTCGAAACGCTATGAGAACACCTTCAGCATGACCACACTCTGAATCACGTGTAATCAGTCCAATCGATGGGGGAGATCCAGGAAGCTTAAAAGTGCATGTGGTGGATACAGCGGCAGCTTTCTGTCATTCAGCAAGCGCTCTGTGTGTGTGTCAGTTCTCTCTCTGTTTGTGAGTCTTATTTGGTGTTGTCTGTCTATTAAGCCATGCCTAAAGCTAAGGATAAGCACAAGGGCGAGAGCAGGCAGCATTATAGGCTGTGTGTTCCTCCCTGCCCGTGCTACATTACAGGTGGGGATACACACAGTCTGTGAGTTGTCTGGTTGGGAGCGAAGCACGCAGAGTCAGCTCTCAAGGAAGCTGACTGCCCGCATTGCGAGCGTTTGCCCCTCCGTACGCTTCGCTCCTGGAGGGCTCTCTTTGAAAGAAAAGCTCAGAAAAAGCTCTTTCACAGACCTCCACGCCGGAGCCTGCCTTTCTTCCACAACCTTCACACCGAGGTGTCGAGGTTGTGGGTGAGACCCTTCTTGGCCCGTATCTTGAGTCCCGCCTCCAGTCATTATACCAACGTGGCGGGGCTGAATGATCAACGCTCGCGAGCTATCTGTCCCCCGACACGGCATCGTCCTTGAAGGCTCCGGCATTGCCCTCCAAGCCGCTGCAGACCATCTCAGCGCTGGTGGGCATGGGGTACACGGCAGCAGGTCAGGCTGGCGCTTGCTTGCACACCATGGCGGTGTTGCAGGCCTACCAAGCCGATCTGCTGAAAGAGCTGGATAAGGGCGAGGAGATTAAGTCTGAGGATATCACAGAGCACAGACGAACCACTGATCTGTCTCTCCATGCCACCAAAGAGACCGCCCACGCCATCGGCAGGTCTATGGCAGCACTGGTGGCGGCGGAGAGACAATTGTGGTTGACCCTGTCCGATATGAAAGAGAAGGGCTCAGGGCTTGGTCTTTGCTCTAATATGCATTTTCAGCTGTTAGACCTTTTATTAAGACATGTGTGCCTTTCCAAATCATACCCATTTAATTGAATTTGCCACAGGTTAACTTCACTCAAAGTGTGGTAACATTTACAAGCAAAATTTTAGCTAAACTCCTGAGCTACATTTTGCTGTAACTGTCCCAGATAAGAGTATGAATACTTATGCAATGGAATCATTTAAGTTTATCTTTTATAAATTAGCAAAGATGTTAAAAACCTGTTATTTGCTTTGTCATTAGTGTAGATTGATGTGGAAAAAAAGTAATTTAAAGCAGTTTAACATAAATCTACAACGTAACAAAAAGTGGAAAAATTGAAGGGGTTTGAATACTTTCGCAAGGCACTGTATATATAGACTGTGATTTTGTGGCTTGTGTTTTAGAAAATCAAATCTTTCTGTAATCTTGACAAAACGCATATCGTTGGAAAGGTCTGACAGTCAAGGTTCCATATTTGGTAACTGTTTTGTAATAGAAGTGATATTATGACAGAAAATGATTGATTTGTGAAAGAAAACTGCTTCAAAAAAATTCAATAAGAGTTTGGGTGTAACCCACTGGTTATTTTTGGTATAGTGCCCAAACAAAATCTCAAAGGAACCACAATTTTTGTGATATCAACTTAAAATGTGGAACATAACTTGGTTAGACACATGGCTTTGATTTTATAGCAATTTTAGAGTGCAACATATTTTATAAAATACTTATTTTATATAAAATAAAAAAATGAGTATACTACATTATCTTTGCTGTAAACTTAAACTTTTATAACTTTATATACTTTCTTTTTTTTTTTTAAATGCTTTCACTTCGGCAATAATCTGCTATGTGTCTTCTTTAAAAGGAGACCAACCTTAGGTCTGTATTCCAAAGCGTTCAGGAATTACAACCATGTTGTAACAAGCATTGACAAACAAGTGTTCTGTTTTCAGTAATTTATACCCCCAAAGGGGCAACATATCCTGGGGGATAAAAACATTTATATCAAAAATAAGAGTCAAGTTTTGAAAAATATCATGAAATTGTATTATTAGAGTCCCAATAAGATGGAAAATAGCAATAAATTAATTTTCTGATGTCTCTTTATGGTTTTGCCCTTTTTAGTGTTAATTAATGGTAAAATTCAATTAAAGGTAAAATTTTGGTCAATTTTAACCCCTTTTGCACATAAAATTCAGTTGCAAATAACCTACATAGATACATACACTACATTTGTTTTCATTGCTTTCAAATTGTACAATGTTTGGAGGACAACACTGGGCAGGATGTACAATAAAATGTTTTTTAAAAAATGAATTAATTTTTTTATTTAAATTATTTTGGGATATTTTTCATCTGACAAATCAAATAAATAATCAACAGATGAAGTGATTATAAAAATAATCATTAGTTGCAGCCCTAGAAGCAATATTACGCTGCTTTCTCAGACACCTTATGACACCAGCCTGAGTGAAAATAAAAATCCACAATGTAGATTATTATATAAATATTTCATCAAAATTATATGTGAGCTATGTTTGTTAATGCTTATTAGAGCCTCGTGCCAACATCAAATTCTGTTTTTTTGTGCATGTCGTGTAGAGCGTTCCAAATCAGCCAATAGTGAGGTTTCATTTCACTTAGGCTAGACAGCAAGGCAGCTCGCTTGGCTTTGAAACAGGGCGTGCATTTAACACTTTGACTCATCTGACATAATTTAACTCATGCAGAGTAGTGCACAATAGTCATTACAATAAATCATATTTATGTAGAAAGTCACAGAGATGTTTAAACAAGTTTCTACAGTATTTAGTTTATGGAGACACATTGCCTTTTTGGAAAGCTGTATAGACACAGACGTGAAACTTTACACTATGGTATGCCGTGGCAGCATCAAGGGATCATAATGACGTTATGACAGTCTAACCGTTGTACATACATAATACTGTATTGTTTGGAGAGAAGTGCAGATCCGTCCGTGTTACATGATATATGTGTGGCTACAAAAACTATTTTATTACTTGCTTTGAAGTTTCTTTTTTAAGATATTTAGTACTTAGATTAGTCTGACATCTTCGACATTACACTGAAGTGCATGTGTGTGTGCATGTGTCCTTTTGTGTGTGTGTTTCATATATTAGGGGGAATTTTCTGTGCCTGACCTTTTGCCAGACCCGACTCGCTTGCATCCTTCAAGGCATGTTTACAAAACCAAATGGAATATGACCTGAATATAAATGTCTTTAAGCAGCCTTCTTCTAAACGATTCCTGTTATGTTTTCAATCTTTGGTCAATGTTTTGGTTTTACTTCTGATACCTGTGGTGGGCTTTATTGATGCTGTGAAGTTTGTGAGTTATTTCTTTTGGCACTGAATTGCTACGTAAATAAAATCAGCTAGGTTTGATAGATCAAATCATTATTAAAGGCTTTAGGCAGTCGTAAACTTGAAACAATAGTAAATCTGGGAGATGAAGTAACAGTGGGCAAAACTCTCATCAGTTTCTTATGGACAAATATAAAGTGGCCTAGTTTCTTCTGTCATCACGCTGATGGTTGAAAGGCTTGGGTTTTGCGAGCTTCTCACCAGCTCTTTTTGCCTGGAGGCTAATACGCTACAGTAGCGTTGCTAGAAAGTACAGTCATCTGGGGACATTAATTGCATTTTTTTGACGAATTAAGCAGGGCAGAGGATATTTTGCACTTAAATTCTTCCCTAAGTTTCTTTTTTCCTCTCCAGAGATTGAATTATATTGACCCAAGAAATAATATAGCTCAATATTCCCAAGTGTGTCACAATTGCCAAAAATATGCACAAGATTTAATTTATTTTTTTATTTTTTTGCATTGACGATAATATGCCAAATAAATGTGAACCACCTGCACTTTAGGAATGTACCATGTATACTATGGGGGGATTGTAGTGTGTACTTGGTGGTTAAAAGCTATTTTTACTGCATACATTGTGACTCGTCTGTCTCTCTATCTCTTTCTCATTGCCCTTCCAGTGTGCATTTGCCCTTGCTTGACCGCAGTGTGCCCGACTTCTCTAGTTTCAACACTGTGGATGATTGGCTGGACGCTATTAAGATGGGCCAGTACAAAGACAACTTCGCCAATGGCAACTTCACCAGCTTCGACCTTGTTTCCCAGATGACCATGGAGTAAGTGCTATACCTATGAGAGAGAACAGTTTGGAAAACAGCCACGCTTTGATCACTGAGTCAGCAGAACCTCTGGGGGATCTTTGACTTTAATAGCGCTGACTGTCAGTACCAAGATTTGCTCTATATTGCCCTAAGTTTCTCTGTCTATTTATTAGGGCTGCACGCTATGGTATAAAATATAATATTTTATATTAAATTATGCTACAGTTCAAAAGCTTGGGTCAGTAGGGGCCTTTTTTAATACTTTTATTCCACAAGGATGGATTAAATTGCTCAAAAAGACACAATGTTGCAAAAGATCTCAAATAAATGCTGTATTTGATTGATTTTCATTAAAAAATTCTAAAATGTATCATGGTTTCCACAAAAATGTCAAGCCACAGAATTGTTTTCAACATTAACAATGCATAAATATTAGAGTGATTTCTGAATGATCATGTGACACTGAAGACTGAAGTAATGGCTACTGAATATTCAGCTTTGCCATCACAGGTATAAATGACATTTTAAAACGTATTAAAACAGAAAAAAGTAGAAACCCTTTATTAATAAATGCTGTTAAATGTAGTTCATAACATCTAAATCATTAAATAGAGTTAAAGACTTTATTGTAAAGTTTTACCATTTATTGAAAATGACAGCCTTTTGAGGTATAATGATAAATGCACAAGGCCATATCGCTATTTCAGTTTCAATGTGATTGATTATGTAGCTGTACTATTCAGTAGGGCTGTCCTCGACTAAAGATTTTTCTGGTCGACTGTTAGTCGTTCATTTTAAGCATTAGTCGACGAATCACGAGTCGATGATTCTTTACAGACTGAATATGGTGGACTGTATCAAAAGGCTACCCTTTAAAAGGGCAATGAAGAAACGGGAGATAAAAAAAACTCACCACACAGTACATGCTTCTGAGATTTTCTTTCTAATATTTTAGGAAAATCTTGAATAGAAATACTGACTGTCTGCTCAATGGATACACAGGGGACAACCTGCGGGACCTTAATCCCTCTCCCCTCGCTGACAGCCGAGGGAAAAGTATGTGAACACCATGAAATGGGACTTCCTTTTGGCAGCCAATACTGCCTTGAAGAAAAATGAGACTTTTTTTGCAGTTTAAACAACATCAACTCAGACAAACGGAGAAAAAAAGTCAAAATAGTTATCACAGTGTTGAATTTGTGGTGCAGATTCCTCATTGCTAAGGGGGAGAAAAAAGAAATATTTTACAGATGTCATAAGAGCCTGCCAAATAGAGCATCATCCCTTTGTACCTCGTCCTGTACATATCAGATGCACTTGTGAGGTCGTCAGTACAAGCCTGATGTAGTCCAACATTTAGTTTCAGTTTCAGTATTGATTGATTATGTAGTTGTACTATTCAGTAGGGTTGCCCTCGACTAAAGATTTCTGGTCGACTGTTAGTCGTTCATTTTAAGCATTAGTCGACGAACCACACATTTATTAATAGACCATTTAAATAATAATAATGAGCCTTTAATTGCCTACATAGCCTAATAAGCGCTCAAACACACACATAAAGCTTGCCACAGCACACCAGCAGAAGTAATAATAATAAATGTGTAGGGAAAAACAGTAAGAAGGCTGCATTAACATTTTAATAAGTTATTGATAAACTAGTGTTTTCTTTGTTTTATGCTTAAGAGATTAAGTCGGCGACACTGACTCGTCATCTCCGAAGTAGTGGATGTATGCATGTTTCATACGCATGACATAATCTGAGAATATTTGTTTTCCATTTGAATTGGTTCATTTGAAAGTAGACATTTCACTCTATATAGATATATTTTTCATATCTGTAAGGCAAGTATACACGGAAGACTGAGACGGATTTGAAAGTATTTCACTCTATATAGATATATTTTTCATATCTGTAAGGCAAGTATACACGGAAGACTGAGACGGCAGAAAACGCATCCTGCTTGCTGTCATTATTTTACAAAAGCGCAATGTTTTGTTGTTATTGTGAGTGCATACACATAAACATAGAGTCTTTACATATTCGAAGGATGTATTACTCTTATCTGTATGACCAAAAATGACCAAAATATTTTAAGAGCAAGTGAGCGCTCTGGTGCCTCCATCTGTCCTGCAGTGAGCGCGATACTATTCAGCTTCCACACTCTGCACAGACACTTGAATAGCGCACATTTTTCTAGGTTAACATTAGATTGAGGGGCCATTTAAAGGGTTAGTTCACCCAAAAATGAAAATTAGCCTGTGTTTTACTCACCCTCGAGGCATCCTAGGTGTATATGACATTTCACTCTATATAGATATATTTTTCATATCTGTAAGGCAAGTATACACGGAAGACTGAGACGGCAGAAAACGCATCCTGCTTGCTGTCATTATTTTACAAAAGCGCAATGTTTTGTTGTTATTGTGAGTGCATACACATAAACATAGAGTCTTTACATATTCGAAGGATGTATTACTCTTATCTGTATGACCAAAAATGACCAAAATATTTTAAGAGCAAGTGAGCGCTCTGGTGCCTCCATCTGTCCTGCAGTGAGCGCGATAACAAAACGCCGGTCACGAATTAGAAGTACAAACCGAGGATTTGTAAAGAAAAATGTTGGAGGATTTCGATATAACCCAAGAGGAGACTGGTTTTCCTTTGCTAAAGCAAGGAAACTTTGCTTCCTTTGCTACTACAAAGAAACTTGTGAGACTAGCATATCTCAGAGACATACGTGCTGCGCATACGTCCTGCGTCATCCGCCGGAACAGCTTCCGCGTATGACAGATACCGGAAGTGAGAGAAAAGTGTTTATTACGTTTGAAATATGGATATTTTTCTTACAAAAACGCATGGATTCACTACAGAAAGCCTTTATTCACCCCCGGAGCCATGTGAGGCACGTTTTATTATGGATGCGTGCGCTTTATTTGACGACTTGTGGACTGTTCAACTGCAACACCCGCTGACTGCAATGATAGAGCTTGGAATAGCCAGGACAATTTTTAATATAACTCCGACTGGATTCGTCTGAAAGAGGAAAGTCATATACACCTAGGATGCTTCGAGGGTGAGTAAAACACAGGCTAATTTTCATTTTTGGGTGAACTAACCCTTTAAAGTTGCTGCTACTAATATATTTCAGATGATAAGCCATATCTGAGGTCAATGAATGATATGCAAGTGTTTGGATGTCCTGCCCGATGTACTACCACAAAGACCAGCCGTTAATGATCTGTCCATCACGGACTGTGTGACCTCACCACTTCCTGTGGATTTTTTTTCTGCGACTAATAAAATTTGGTCAATCAAGCCTGTTCTCGTCGACCAACGGTTAATCGACTATTTGGGGGCAGCCCTACTATTCAGTCTGTTTATTATCCTCTTTGTCTTTTTTTCAAAATGAATTATAGATTGCAGTCTGAAATTATCTCTCAGTGATTAGACACTGTATGGATTTAAATTCAAAAATAAATATTGGTATATTTTCTCATATTTGTTGCTGACTGTCAGTCACAGTGGAAATGGGAACCACAGAAATGTATGCTTAGATTCTTCTCCTCTCCTCACCTTAGCTGTTACCTGACCAAACCAGACACGCCATGAAAACAAAGGAAGTGTTGTTGTTTCAGAGACGCTTGGATTGTGCAACAAACAGAGGATGATAGGGATTTACCGGTTACTCAATCTTGAATTAACATGCTCAGTATACTTTGGCATCATGTGATGAAGCCAGTGAATAAAAATGTGTTACTACAGCTTTATGGTATTTGCTTCTGAGCGCTCATGTTTGATCTTGCCTCTTTCTGTTCGTGTGTACATAGGGACATTCTCAGGGTCGGAGTGACACTCGCGGGTCATCAGAAGAAGATCCTCAACAGCGTTCAGATGATGAGGGCCCAGATGAACCAGATCCAATCGGTAGAGGTTTGACCACGCATTCCGGTTAGACTGGGAGGAGGACAAGAGGAGGATGCGGAGGGTCAACGTGAAGGGATGGAGGGCGGCCACTACAGACCCTAAGCCTGATTTTCCTTCTGGACCACCTAGGATATCACCAGCCCCCTCCTCCAAAACACTCTCGTTCTCCATCTGTGTTATCTGAATTCCCCATTAACCCCCAGACACCCCAATGGGCTCGACTCGGGAAAGCTGCGTCTGGAAAATATGGTCACAACACCTGATCATTTAGCTTTAGCCGCCACCAATCACAGGATGACCGATCAGTCTGCCAGCAATAGGCTCCGCCCCCTACTTCCCTTGAATTTTCCTCTTACTTTCCTTCCATTTTATTAATTTTTGTTTTGTTTTTTTGTTTTTAGTCTTCATTTTTTTAAAATGTTAAGAATTTTTAAAGCTATGAAAACACAAGGAATCTATATAAAATATATAGATTGGTGTAAAATTGCAGACTGAATATGGTGGACTGAATCAAAAGGCTACCCTTTAAAAGGGCAATGAAGAAACAGGAGATTTAAAAAAAAAACTCACCACACAATACATGCTTCTGAGATTTTCTTTCTAATATTTTAGGAAAATCTTGAATAGAAATACTGACTGTCTGCTCAATGGATACACAGGGGACAACCTGCGGGACCTTAATCCCTCTCCCCTCGCTGACAGCCGAGGGAAAAGTATGTGAACACCATGAAATGGGACTTCCTTTTGGCAGCCAATACTGCCTTGAAGAAAAATGAGACTTTTTTTGCAGTTTAAACAACATCAACTCAAACAGACAAACGGAGAAAAAAAGTCAAAATAGTTATCACAGTGTTGAATTTGTGGTGCAGATTCCTCATTGCTAAGGGGGAGAAAAAAGAAATATTTTACAGATGTCATAAGAGCCTGCCAAATAGAGCATCATCCCTTTGTACCTCGTCCTGTACATATCAGATGCACTTGTGAGGTCGTCAGTACAAGCCTGATGTAGTCCAACATTTAGTTTCAGTTTCAGTATTAGATGGATCTACATTGACATTTGATGGATTTTCTTTTGTGTGCGTGTGCGTATATGACTTGAGGGGGTCATCTTTTATATTCTTCCTCCTTTTTGTCATGGGCTAAGATGATTTAGTTTGAAAGACGGCATAAGATATTCTCCCCCGCAAATTTTTTAGCATGTTCTTTCCTTGAACTGCTAAGAGAGAAGGACCCCGAGTGCACGTATGGTGTGGTCTTCACATCGTCTACGCTCTTCTTTTATGTTTGGATCCCTGCCATGTGTGTGTGTGTGTGCATGGAATGGAGCACATGGAGCTGCGGAGCAGGTGTGGTGCAAAACTATGATTTCACAGGAAGCTTGGATTTGATACACTTTGCAGTCACTGTGTTGATATGCTTATATTTTTGCCACCAAAACCATTTCTTTAAAAAAAAAAAGATGTTTTATAATAAGGTGTTTAGGGGTTTTAATATCTGATAAAGTGTGCAGTTAGAGGACATTTTCATAACAGGGAAGTGATTGTTCATTGTGAAGCATAGTTTTATATGAGAATATTGTTATTGTATGACATTTTTGAACTGGTTACATTCACCAATTGTGGCGAAGCTTAAATTTGGAGTTTCATAGGACATTTAAACAAAAAAATAACGAACAATATCAGCTGTAAATGAGTGTGTATAGGTTTGTTTTATTTTTACAGAAAATACATCCCACTGTTCTCCATGGTATGGTACTTCCACGATGAGATCTTTCACCTCCATAGACGTAAGAACAATAATACTCTGTATAATAATATTCTAAAGCAGAAACTTCCCCCCTCAGAGAGGTTTGTCTCAAAACTGTGTTGGATTTTAGTGTACATATTTTTTTTATGTATTGTTGAAACTGAATGGAGAGTCGCTATTGTCGATGTTTATTTTGGGCCTTTTCGTTTTGTACTAGGATTGGCTGAGAGATGAGAATCAGCCGTAGAGATGAATGGGCCGGAGGCATCTTCATCCATGCTGGAGTGTCTGTGTGTGAGCGAGTGTGTTTGTGTGTTTGCACGTGCAGGTACGTCCATGTACCAGCATTACGGTCACTGTGGTTAACAATATACTTCTTTCTCAGCTGTCGAGGGGCTCGCTTTATTCCATAACCTCAGGGTTGCCACGTATCTGTGTTAAAAACCATGCAGTGCTGTGAGGTCAGTTCAGTGTAGGTAAGGTCCATTGGCTGAATCTCAGAGTGCTAATGAAGTTCTAATCAGATGGTGTTGACCTTTCTCTGTTCTTCCCATTACATAATGCTTCCATTAGAATGAAGATTCTGTCGTTCAGTGTTTTGACATGAAACACAACGTTCAGCATACAGGCCATCCCAGGTGTGAACTATTGAAATACATAGCGATAAAGGCTTGAGAAACGACCGTGTCTACTTTCCTCTATGTCCAGAAAGATGGTAGGATTTTACTTTCCTTAGAGCTTGACATACTAAATGGCCCTTAAGTTTTAGCTCTCAGCATTTCAGTCATTTTTGGTAACCAGCAGGAGGATACAGGGTGAAAGGAAATGAATCTGGGCTTAACACCTTGTCCTAACCAGCAACATGGAATTTGTCCGTCCACACTGAAAGCAAAAATTCAGCACAGCACAATCACAGCCAATGTTTAATATGCAGTTACATTACATTCTCTCAAGCTCACCTCATCAAGGCTACATTTATTTGGTCAAAAATACTGACCATCTTCAGTTCACATTATCCTTCAGAAATCATTCTAATATGCTGATTTGTTACTAAAAAAAAATCATTTTTGAAAAAAAAAAGTTACAAAAACTGTACAGAAACAGCGTATTTTTGTGTAAACCATGACAGGTTTTTCTGGATTCTTCGATGAACAGAATGTTTACACAACATTTAGTCTTTAGTCACTTTTTATCAATTTAATGTGTACTTGCTGAATAAAAGAAATAATTTTCTTAAATAAAATAAATAAATAAAAATAAATCGACCCCAAAATTTAGAATTATGGTGTATGTTGGTGAGGCTATCAAGCTGCAATAGAAATGAATATCAAGCAATTGACATTATGTTCTATCCCTTGCAGGGCATAAAATGATTGTAAAATAAAATAATGTAAATATATTACACTAAAATAACAGATAAGCAAAATAAATACATTTTCGTTATTGCTGCTTTGCAATTGACCAAATATTCTTTATGGACAAAAACAATTAATACATGTAAAAATCATCCATTTCCATGGTATATATGCCATATGTGACACCTCAGTCGCTTTCAGCAGCTGGTTGGGACAAGGAGCGAGTGAGAGAGGTGAGACAGATTGAGAGTGAGAAATGTTCTCGCATCATAAAACTTGAGCAGTGATGGTGCCAGCAGCCACCTTTACCTGTCTGTCCAGCACATCCTCTCAATATTTAATGGCTTCTCAGTGTCACTGCTGCACTGTGAGACTAAGGTTCTGAATCCCTCGTCTTCCTCAGAATAACACCGCTTCTGCTTCACCCTCTAGGACAACCACTGTCACTCAAAGCTCCAGCACACATTCCGGGATCCACACACACATTGCTGCTGTACGTCTGCAGAAGTTGAGACTCTCATGGCAGTAGCTCAGCAATATTTAGAGGTGCCGCCGACAAGTTACAGCGTGTTTTAAATCAGCCTAACAGCACAGGATTAACAGAGCTTTGAATGAAATCCAGTGCTGAAGGGATATCCTGTGTTCCTGATCCTCATCTTCTTTTCCTTCCAATGAAATGTGTCGTTTCATAAGTACAGTTTCACGGGCCTGCGCTATTTGCAAAAAGACGCTTTTCTTGCAGCTTGGCGCTGATGATCACATGAGTTTCTGGCACTTTGCAGTGAGAGATCCGAAGGAACATTAACGACCAATGAGCCTTTTTGTTTTAAGATATTGGTATGTTGAAAGATTATGACATGCTTGACGTTTGCCGCGCATTTTCTTCAGCGAAACTGTATTTACATAGAAATATTTCATCACGGCGGTCTTATGTAATTCTGTTTTTCCACTGCATCTTTAACCGCTCAAGTTTGTTTCTCGGTAGGGGACTAATTACTTCATACGTCTCCCTCTCTCATTTGTCGTTTCACAGAACACTACGTAGACCACAGACAAATGAGACGTGGCGTCGAGAGTGTGAAAAAATGTCATGCTGAGTGATTTAAGCACTTCTTATTGTTTTTTTCACATGGATTATCACCTTAAACGCATAGTTTCTACCACAACACAGCTCTTTTTTTTCATACGAAGTGCTGAGAAAGATGGTATGTGGTCATTTTTTAATACTCAGCACCCTTTTGGTTCAGATGGCTTAGAAAATAGCCAAAAAGCTGCCGTTATGTGGACATGCGAACTGCAAATGTTCCTTCTGGCAAGCAAAAATGTGATCCCGTGCACCATTTAAAGCTTTTTGTTGAAAGCTGGTGACGGCAAGCTGTGAACAGCATATGCTCGCAGCTACCGCCGGAGTGTAATACCAATGCAAAACCGTTATTATGATGATTCTGTGCGACTGTGAACGTAAATACAAGCTGGCTCTGGCTCACTCTCATTGGTCCATATTTCTGCCTGCATCCTCCAAATATGGTGGGAAGTTCTTGGATAGAAAATGGCTCCCCGAACAGAGCTGTAGTGCCTGAAGGGCCGCAGCACCCTCTGGTGTTAGACAGGCAGTAGTGCATTCGTCCCCATGTCTCTCAGCCCTGCTTTTCATTACAGGGCGGCAGACCTCTCTCTCTCTCGCGTGAGCCGAAATAGAGCACTGCCCACCTGGACCACTGTGACGGAGATGGGAGGTCCTGTTTCACTGTATAAAATGTACATTTGACTGTAACCCTGTGAATGATGTAACAATTTCATTATTTGTACTATTGTTATTGGTTTATTTTTTAAAAATTGAAAAAAGCCCAACTTGACTCTCCTCATTAAAACATGAAATGAGATACAACTGTTATACAGCGTTCTGTGGTGTGTGTGTGTTAGCCTCAAGTGTTTGTTTTCCTGATAGCACATTGTGCCAGTGCTGCCAAAGTCATGGGCTGAATTCCCAGGGAATGCATAATACTAAAAATCTATAGACTGAATTCAGTTGCTTCAGATAAAAGTGGCTACAAAATATTTAAAGAACTATTCAGGTTCAGTACATTTTTGCTCTGTCAACAGTGTTTGTGGCCTAATGTTGTTTACCACTTGTCCCTTATTTTCTTTAAAGAAAAAAACCTATTCATTAAAAAAAGATTGTAAAATGTCTATTTAATAAAAAAAAAGTAAAATAATGAAAGTAAATTAAAGATAAAATAAATCATTTTCATCATGAACGATTGATCTGTTTTCACATGGACCAATAATATTTCTGTCACGTGACTGGCAAAATGTCTTTTATGGTATAATAATGATTACCACAAAAAAAAAAACATTTCCACACATCCCTCTTTTTCCTTAAAAAAAAAATATTGTAAAATGACAGTTGACTTTGTTTTTTGTTTTTTTTCTACACTAACTAAAATAAAATGTATAAGGATACCATTAAAATGGTCCATGTGACATCAGTGGTCAATAATGGCGGAGGACTGTCCCGGAAGAGAAGAAATCCTTGAATAAAGTAGTTATTTTTGTTTTTCTTTGCACACAAAAATTATTCTGGTAGCTTTATAAAATTACGCTTGAACCACTGATGTCACATGGATCACTTTAACGAGGTCCTTACTACGTTTCTGTGCCTTGATCATGTTAGGATCCTTGCTGTTTATGGAGGGTCAGAGAGCTCTCGGATGTCATCAAAAATATCTTAATTTGTGTTCCGAAGATGAACGAAGGTTTTACGGGTTTGGATCGACATGAGAGTGAGTAACTAATGACAGAATTTTCATTTTTGGGTGAACTGTCCTTTTAAAATACTATTTTAATAGAATAGCTTCAAAAAATGTAAAACTGTGCATTTAACATGGTTTTAGTGTGGAAAAACATGCTTAGTAAAAAAAAAAACCTATAAAAATAATTAAAACAGCTTTAATTCTTCTTTTAAATGCATTATCTGGACTGTAATGTAAGTGCTTATATAAAATAATTGCTTTTATAGGGTGACCATACGTGCCATTTTCCCAGGACGCGTCCTGCCCAGGATTTCTATATTTGCCTAAAATATCTAGGTTTTGGCTTTGTTTGCGTGTGCAGACCGATCGGTGTATGACATCAAAGTACCATACAGACGGTTATGCTTTCGAAACGCTCTCGGGGTACTTTGATGTCAAACACTGATCGGTCTGAGCCGCGCTGCTTTTAAGTCGAACACACCTAATATGTACGCGTAATTGCATCGCTTTGACCGTAGATCCCACCTTCTCACACGCCATGATTGGTCCATTATGTACAATGCTTGCATGTTATTGGTCAAACTACTTTTCGATCATTACCTTCAGCAAGCATGAAAACAAAGCCAAAACAAATCCTGGCCAGGACGCGTCCTGGGAAAATGGTACGTATGGTCACCCTAAGTGCCTCAACATCAAGGGAGCTTAACTTATACAGTAAAGTGGTAAATAAACCAAATATCATTGTAGTACATTTTACAATAAACACTTGCTGCTTTCAATTTCAACAGTTTCGTGTTTAATTCAAAGTCCTTGCTGTTCCTTTGTAATCGTTTGTGAAAATACTAGCGATTTCTGAGTGTGTACTGAACTTGGAATGTTACTTTAAATGTTTAAAGATCCGGTTGTTTTATTTCCCCACTCATTAGTCTCGCCAACTTGCTAAACTGAGGTAAAATTACCCTGAAGACAGGAGTAAATGTATACCTTTTTAGAAACTTCACATTGAAGGCATTTACACGCCCCAAATCACTCCTCACAGGACCGGCCTTTATGCTGCATCCTTTGTGCTGATGTTCCTGTGGGGTGTTTGGGTTTGTCTGCGCTCCCCCTCCTGCTGTTCCCTCCGACCGGATCCCAGTGTCTCCTCACAGCTCGCCCCGCTTCGGAGGCTTCGTTAACGGGCCAATGTGTGAAAGCCCCACGACCTCTCGCTGACCTCGCCGAGACTGGCATGCGAAAAAAACGCAGCCCCTGTGAGGAGAAGTGGGAGTTCAGGAGTTCAGTGCGCAACCCGCTGGCAATCCAACAGTTCTTCTCATCTATTCCCGACAGCCTTTGCTTTCCCCCTCCTTTACGCCCTGTTAACCACTGCCACCACGGGCTCAGCGGGAACAGCACCAGCGCCAGACCCTCAACAGAACACGACCAAAAACCCGACGGATCATCTTTCACTGGAAACGCACATGAAAGTGACCGGACTCGACGTGAAATATCTAGATGAACAGAAACGCCCTTTGCTTTTTCGTTCGTGGTCGTGACGCCGATGGCGCTTGCTAACCGGAATAGTTCGCGCTCACACGTCATTGCTTTTGAATCGCATTTTTAAAAGATCATGCTGTGGTCATGCTAAAGAAATACGGAAACTACAAATCTATGTAAACAGTGGCCATGTGTGCCGCCCTGCGATTCACTTATTTGAATGGCCGCTAATGTTCATTGTTCCACATATGTGATCTGCAGATATTTAAAAGAGTATTAGGTCAATCAAAGTGCAATCAGTGAGCTTTCCAGGCCGTGGCGTGTGCAGCTAACTGAAACGTTGGGGTGATTTTGATGGCCACGTCA